TATGTCAAATAAGTAATTTAGAATTATTTTAGTTTTGCCTTGGACTGCCCTCACTTTAAATAGAGTGAATGCATTTAGATGATCTGAGTGACCTCTATGGTATTTCTTATAATAATAAGTAAATGTTGGCTTGTCGTGCTTGCTGAGTCCTCATTGAGAAGAAGGGCCATTGCCAACAATGTGCACTCCCCTTGTCATGTGTTTATGCTGAGACCAGCTCCCCGCCGGAAAACAACTCGGAGGCTTGCTCACACCGCACAGAGGTTCATGCCTTTGCTGACTCTGAAGTTATGGTCCCTCCTCTCTGAGAACAGAGATACCTTGAGGGGTGTCACAGGGGGTGACAAGAGAGCTGTAGGGTCATCTAGCCCAGGTGTGTCACCCACAACATCCACACACATCATGTGGCCACTGATCACTAGTGTGAGGTAGATCAGGGTTAGTGATGACCAGTAAAGAATACAGTAATAGTATGGAAAATGCTAACATGTCTGAGTTTGTCCCTATAAATGCCCTATAAATTGCCTCAGTGCAATGCTTGGGAGATGAGAGCTCCCTGTTCTTGTTGCGCGTTAGAAGCTGCCCTCTGGTGGTGGTGGTAATTGTAGCAAACGTGATAATCCTCTCATTGTGTATCCAGTCGTCTTCTGCGTATTTTACCCATGTAAACCCTCTCATCTTCATAGCAAAGTAGGCACTATTATTAACCCCATATTACAGATGAAGAGACTGAGGCACAGCGCGGGTGCATACCTGGCCGAAGACTCACAGCTTGTAAGTAAGCTACAAACCCAGTCTCCAGAACCCATGCTGTTAGCCCCCAGGCCGTCCTGCTCTGCTGCTGTTGCTGATAAAACTACAGATGGTAGCAGTGATGGTGGAAACTTACATGGGCCTTACCATGCACCAGGCTCCGTTCTAAGTGCTCTACATGCATTAACGGACGTTCCTTGTAACAACCCCAAGAAGCAGGTTCCATCACTGTGTGTTACGGATAAAAAGCCTCAGGCACACAAAAACTGACCGTCTTTTTGAAAGTTACAGCTGTTATGTTTTATCTTTTTGCTACTTTTACCTCTTAAATTTTTGTTGCCTGTGCACTCGATCTGTCCATGGAAGTGCATCACTTGTGTATGGAGAGTGACCAAAAATACTGAGAATTCCTCTCATTGGAACTCAGTGGTCCCACTCACTCCTGGTTCTCCTTATAATATCTGACATTTCCTTCTAAATCTTCTGTCTTCATAGCCTTCTCTTCCTCTGCTTCTTCATTACAGTTGGCATTGCTCAGGTGTTCAACCTTGGCTTGCTCTTCTTCTCACTAGACATGCTTTCTCAAGTGGTCTTATTCAGAGTTTTCCTGTATCACTCTGACTTTATAGAGTGCAGATTTACACACCCAGCTGCTTTCTGGCAGCTACACATGGATGTTCCACTGGCATCTTAAAACTCAGCGAGTTCAAAAGCAAATTAATTTTCTTTTCTCTGAAAAATACTCTTCTTCCTGTGTGCTTCATCCCAAAGCCTCCAAAGCTATGAACCCAGTCAGCATCCTTCTTTCCCCTCCCTCCTTCACACAATAATGCACATTAGAATCACTGTTTTAATCTTTTTTGTGTCTTACACCTGGAGATTACTTTTCAAAATGACTAGGATGAAAGCCTTTGCACGTAGACTCTGAAAAGCCTCCTCAATTAACAAACTGAATGACAATCGTATGATCATTTTAATAGATGAAGGAAAAGCTTTTGACCGAATTCAACTTCTTTTTACAATAAGAACTCTCCACAAAGTGGATATAGAGGGAATATACCTCAACATAACAAAATCTCTGCAGGATAAGCCCACAGCAAACATCACACTCACTGGTGAAAAGCAAGAAGCATTTTCTCTAAGGTCAGGAGCAAGACAAGGATGTCCATCTTGCCACTTTTATTCACCATAGTTTTGGAAGTCCTAGCCACAGCAATCAGACAAGGAAAAGAAGTAAAATAAAAATACTCTTCTTCCTGTGTGCTTCATCCCGAAGCCTCCAAAGCTATGAACCCAGTCAGCATCCTTCTTTCCCCTCCCTCCTTCACACAATAATGCACATTAGAATCACTGTTTTAATCTTTTTTGTGTCTTATACCTGGAGATTACTTTTCAAAATGACTAGGATGAAAGCCTTTGCACGTAGACTCTGAAAAGCCTCCTCAATTAACAAACTGAAGAATGACAATCATATGATCATTTTAATAGATGAAGGAAAAGCTTTTGACAGAATTCAACTTCTATTTACAATAAGAACTCTCCACAAAGTGGATATAGAGGGAATATACCTCAACGTAACAAAATCTCTGCAGGATAAGCCCACAGCAAACATCACACTCACTGGTGAAAAGCAAGAAGCATTTTCTCTAAGTTCAGGAGCAAGACAAGGATGTCCATCTTGCCACTTTTATTCACCATAGTTTTGGAAGTCCTAGCCACAGCAATCAGACAAGGAAAAGAAGTAAAAGGAATCCAAATTGGAATGGGAGAAGTAAAACTGTCACTGTTTGCAGATAACATGATACTATATGTAAAAATTTCTAAAGACACCGCCAAAAAACTACCAGAACTAATAAATGAATTTAGTAAAGGTAAAGGGTACAAAATTTAGTAGAGTAGTCCCCCACATATTAATGTGAACCTTCAGGTTGCATGCTTTCAATGATGCGACCATTGTCCACATATCCAGTCACATAAGTCGGCTCGTGTGTCTGGCGCACATTGTTACTCGTGTGCATTCCCTACAGTGACTGCGCTTTAGTGTGCTTTACAGTTGTGAAGAGCACAGTGGGAGAGTGTCTTTACTTCAAGCTCAGGATGTCTGAACACAAGTACAAAACAGCGGTAAAAAGCCGATTGTGTTAGTTGGGTACCTGGACTATCTTTGTTGGACTTAGGATCAAATTGGACTTATGAACGTGCTCTCAGAACAGAGCTTGATTGTATATAGGGGACTTACTGTACACAGAAATCTGCAGCGTTTCCATACACTGATAATGATTATGTGAAGAAAAATTAAGAAAATGATCCATTTACAATTGCATCAAGAAAAATATACCTGAGAATAAATTTAACCAAGGAGGGGAAGGACCTGAAAACTCTAAGATGTTGATGAAAGAAGTTAAAGACAAGACAAATAAATGGAAAGACATACTATGCCTATGGATTGGAAGAATTAATGTTGCTAAAATGTCCGTACTTCCCAAGGTAATCTGCATAGTCGCTAACAAAATACCAGTGGAATTTTTCATAAAACTGGAATAAATTCTAAAATTTGTATGGAACCACAAATGACCCCAAAAGCCAAAGCAATCTTGAGAAAGGACAAAGCTGAAGATATCACATTCCCTGACTTCAGACTACACTACAAAGAAACAGTAATCAAAATGATTGGTACTGGCAGGAAAACAGACTCATGTATGACTGGAACAAAATAGAAAGTCCAGAAATAAATTCACACTTACATGGTCAATTAATATATGTCAGAGAAATCAATAATATATGGTGGGGGAAAGACAGCCACTTCAATAAATGCTTTTGGGGAAACTGGACAGCCACATGCAGAACAATGACACTGGACTATTTTCTTATACCATATTCAGAGGTAAAGTGGTTAAAGACTCAAATGTAAGACCTGAAACCACAAAATACCTACAGGAAAACATAGGCAGTATATTTTTTTTCATCTTAGGCCCTAGGGATATCTTTTTAGATATGTTTCCTCAGGCAAGGGTAAGAAAAGCAAAAATAAACAAATGGGACTGTCAAACAAAAACATTTGTACAGCCAAAGAACCATCAAAATGAAAGGGCAGCCTGCTGTATAGGAGAAGATGATTTGTGAATAATATACTAGATGAAGGCTTAATATTGAAATTATATCAAGAAATCTTATAGCCTAATATTAAAAATCCAATTAAAAACTGCAGAGGACCTGAACAGTCATTTCTCCAAAGGACAAAAACATAGCCAACAAACACATGATAAAGGTTCTCAACATCACTAATCATCAGGAAAACACAAATCAAAACCAATGCACTCTCACCTAACTTCTGTTAGAATGACCATTATCAAAAAGACAAGAAATAACTATTGGCGAGGAGAATGTGGAGAAAACAGAACCCTCATTCACTGTTGCTGGGCATGTAAATTCATGCAGCTACTGTAGAGAACAGTATAATGATTCCTCAAAAAATTGAAAATAGAAATATCATCAGTCCAGTTCAGTTGCTCAGTCGTGTCTGACTCTTTGCGACCGACCCCATGGACTTCAGCACACCAGGCCTCCCTTTCCATCACCAACTCCCGGAGTTTACTCAAACTCATGTCCACTGAGTCAGTGATGCCATCCAGCCATCTCATCCTCTGTCATCCCCTTCTCCTCCTGCCCCCAACCTTTCCCAGCATCAGGGTCTTTTCCAATGAGTCAGCTCTTTGCATCAGGTGGCCAAAGTATTGGAGTTTCAGCTTCAGCATCAGTACTTCCAATGAATATTCAGGACTAATTTCCTTTAGAATTGAATGTTTGGATCTCCTTGTAGTCCGAGGGACTCTCAAGAGTCTTCTCCAATACCACAGTTCAAAAGCATCAATTCTTTGGCGCTCAGCTTTCTTTATAGTCCAACTCTCACATCCATACATGACTACTGGAAAAACCATAGCTTTGACTAGATGGNGGTCACAGATAGTTACTAGACTCACCATGGTATTCATTCCATAATGTATTTAAATGTTGAATCACTGTTGTGTACCTGAAACTAACATAATGTTGTACACCAACTATAATATTTTTAATTTCTTTTTATAATCCCCTAAAGTGAAGCCTTAATGATAGACTTCTTTTGACAGCATTAGATGCTGACATTTGTCAGTTATCATGGTTAACAGGATTTCCTAAAACAATTTGTAATTGTTTTAATGCACCATTAGCAGTGTGACATTCTGAATACTGTCTCTCTTTAATTTCAGCCTGTGAAGTTGAAGCGGGGAAAGTTTACCAAGTGTCCTCAAAAGAGCACATCCAGCCTTTCAAAGAAAACATGGAACAATTTATTATTCAAGGTAAATTCTGAAAAGATGCTGCACTTCCCTCCCTGCTCAGCAGAAAGGTAGAAGGCATTTAAAAAAATAGGCATTGGTTTAAAAGGAGTTATTTTAACATCACAGAAAAATAAATGATGTTGTATCATAAATCACACAGTTGTGACAGACAAGCAATTAGCTAAATATGCTGTTCTGTGGATAATATTCATTATTACTGTTTTTTAATGACAGTAAATACAGTAGTTATTAGTTAAAATGGCATATACTTATAAAGGCATTACAATTTTTATGCTTTTTGTAATAGAAAGTTAGATATTCTTTAAAGTTTTATCTACACATACAACTTCAGTTCAACTTGGTATTTGCTTTATCAAAACATTGTGCTACAAAACAAAGTACATTGATGATTTTCTGATCTTTAAAATATTATATTCTATTTTTATAGGATGTATAAATAATCCTGGATATTTAACATCTTTTCCCCAAGGATCATAAAAACTTTATAAATATTATGTTCTTGATTCTTCCTATATTCCTATGAAATAAGCAGCAGTGGAAAATTTCAAGCAGTATTAAAGGAACAAAAAAAAATTTAATAGGAGAAATTTATTAATCTATTGCTGTTTGAAATCCTTGAAACATGATTATATCAAAGGACTCACTACTCCACACATTTCTGCTTTGGAATATTGCATATCTTCTGAAGATCAGATCTGTATGAAGCTGTGCTCTGGGGAGGCTCTCCTAGTTCAGGAATTCTCCAGAGACTGCTGTGGCCTGTGACTGATGCCAAGCAGTGCTCTGAAGACTGGCTTCATCTCCTGTCATTTTACAGGTTGTTCAGGTGGCTGTAAAGATGATAACATAGTGAATGAGTTATACTGGAATTTGATTAAACATTAAGCACAGCTCTTTTTTAAATGAGACAGTACCATTTAATCATTTAAATTAATTGTGATCTTAGAAACAGAAGTTTGGTCCATCATATATCAAAGTGGTTGTCATTTTCATATCCTCAGGGCCTCATAGCTGAGACTAGAACATCTGCTCACTGATTCCTAAATAGTCCTTGACTGAAATCCATGTTCTGTAGGATCCTATCCACTCAACTCCACTGTTAATGGTGAAGGAAAGTGAATCTTGGTTTTTTGTCCAGTGGGCCTTTAGGATCAAGAGCTGTAATTTTATGGAATATTCTTTTTTGCTTATGGGTAAAAAGGAGTCCTTAACTCTATAACTCATTAAAAAAGAAGTCAAACAATTTGCTAGATTTCACGTCTAAAACATTAATCAGTGTGTGATTCATATAGTTGGTCACAGAAACTATAAAACTCCTAGAGGAGAACATAGGCAAAACACTCTCCGACATAAATCACAGCAGGATCCTCTATGACCCACATCCCAGAATTTTAGAAATAAAAGCAAAAATAAACAAATGGGACCTAATGAAACTTAAAAGCTTTTGCACAACAAAGGAAACTATAAGCAAGGTGAAAAGACAGCCCTCAGATTGGGAGAAAATAATAGCAAACGAAGCAACAGACAAAGGATTAATCTCAAAAATATACAAGCAACTCCTCCAGCTCAACTCCAGAAAAATAAATGACCCAATCAAAAAATGGGCCAAAGAACTAAACAGACATTTCTCCAAGGAAGACATACAGATGGCTAACAAACACATGAAAAGATGCTCAACATCACTCATTATCAGAGAAATGCAAATCAAAACCACAATGAGGTACCATTACACGCCAGTCAGGATGGCTGCTATCCAAAAGTCTACAAGCAATAAATGCTGGAGAGGGTGTGGAGAAAAGGGAACCCTCTTACACTGTTGGTGGGAATGCAAATTAGTACAGCCACTATGGAAAACAGTGTGGAGATTTCTTAAAAAGCTGGAAATAGAACTGCCATATGACCCAGCAATCCCACTTCTGGGCATACACACCGAGGAAACCAGATCTGAAAGAGACACGTGCACCCCAATGTTCATCGCAGCACTGTTTATAATAGCCAGGACATGGAAGCAACCTAGATGCCCATCAGCAGACGAATGGATGAGGAAGCTGTGGTACATATACACCATGGAATATTACTCAGCCATTAAAAAGAATTCATTTGAATCAGTTCTAATGAGATGGATGAAACTGGAGCCCATTATACAGAGCGAAGTAAGCCAGAAAGATAAAGACCATTACAGTATACTAACACATATATATGGAATTTAGAAAGATGGTAACGATAACCCTATATGCAAAACAGAAAAAGAGACTCAGATGTATAGAACAGACTTGTGGACTCTGGGAGAAGGCGAGGGTGGGATGTTTCAAGAGAACAGCATTGAAACATGTATATTATCTAGGGTGAAACAGATCACCAGCCCAGGTTGGGTGCATGAGACAAGTGCTCGGGCCTGGTGCACTGGGAAGACCCAGAGGGATCGGGTGGAGAGGGAGGTGGGAGGGGGGACCGGGATGGGGAATACATGTAAATCCATGGCTAATTCATTTCAATGTATGACAAAAACTACTGTAATGATGTAAAGTAATTAGCCTCCAACTAATAAAAATAAATGGAAAAAAAAATAAAAATAAAAAAAAAACATATAGTTGGTCACATCATATGTGATTATATTATATAATATTTTGAATCTGTATTTTGTAGACCAAGTGCTGAATTTTTCTTTTGACTCCATCTTTTTGAATGAAGAGCAAAATTGTGTTTTTGCGACCCAGATACAATTTAGAAATTGTGCTTATAAATCATACATGATCAGCCATATCTAATCTTTCAAAATCATTATGATGATTCCAAGGTTGTGTGAGACCCTCAGAATTTGCCCAGTAGTTCACTTGGGTGGGAGACTGTATCCCTTCAGACTAAATGGATAGGTATCTATTCATGTTTTACTGGTCTTCTGTAATTGTATCCCCTTTATAATGAAATTCAGGTGTTAGTAATTCTGCTTCTCCATGACTTCACGGTCAAAGAAACAATGACTTTTGTAAAGATAATACCTTTTTATCCTTATAGGTGTGAAATACTTCACCTTATTACCATTAGGTTAATCCTCATTGAGTTGGACATGACTGAGCAACTTTCACTTTCACTTTTGGGCTTCCCTAGTGGTCAACTGGTAAAGAATCTGCCTGCAGTGTGGGAGACCTGGTTCCATCCCTGGGTTAAGAAGATCCTCTGGAGAAGAGAATGGCTGCCCCCTCCAGTATTCTGGCCTGGAGAATTCCATGGACTATACAGTCCCATGGGATCACAGAGTCAGACATGACTGAGTGACTTTCACTTTCAGTCCTAATTATGTGACTCTTTTCTTCATGTCTCTTCCTCAGGCACCTTCAGTTAGCCTTTTATTTCTTCTCTGGTTCTCTTCACGTGTTCTATGTTTTTAAAAAAATTTTGAACACCTATTTGCCCAAACACTCTTTGGGGCACTGAGTCACAGCAGTGAATAAGAAAATGTTTGTGTCTTAGTGGGCATCACATTGTATGTTATCTGGAAGATGACAACAGCAAATCCTTAGGAAAAACTTATATAGATCAAATGTGTCTAAAATGTGGAAGAAGACAAAGTCTAGCTTTAAACACGATTGCTCATGAGCCTGTGTTCAATGACATATAGTGAAAAAATGAATTTCAAAATACAGTTCTCTAAGAATATGGCCAATTTTGGATTCCATATTTTTTCTAGTTATCAGGACAAAATTCTAAAATTAAATCTATACACTAAAAATGTGTTCCATTATATATGCCAAATCTTTGTTTATAATTAGGCCTTCTTCAGTAATAAAACCATTTTCTTATATTAACCTATGTGCTCAGGTTCCTTTACATGGGTATATTCTTTTTTTTTTTTAATAGTTCATTAAAGGCTTTTCAATGTGCTTCATTTTCTAAAGCTAAAGTCTCTCAGACAACCCAAGAGCCTATATCCAGTGCTAACCAAACATTTTAATTGCATTAGCTCTCACAGTATAATAGAGACCTCTCTTAAGCATACTCAAAGAGCCTCTGAGTCCATCTGGTCCAGTTATCCATTGATCCACCCCCATTTGCACTCCCCATCTTTCCAGTTCTACTCAAGACAAAACTTCATGGCTTTTACTTAAACACCTCTTTGGGGGTGTCCCTTACCTCTGCTCTGAAATAGACAAATTTAGAGAGTTGAGTCCTGCTGCCATAAAGCAGATATTGATTGTAATGGTGCCAGCTAAGTACCATCCCTTATGTAGCGTGAATAAATAATATTCAATTATTTATTATACAAATTCTGTTCTGAGCACACATACCCCCCACAGTTTTATATTCCTTGTGACATTTAACCATTCTCTGAGATTGTATCATTCATTTGTCCCCAAACAGTGTAAGGTCCATTAAGAGAGCACTTTGCTCTGCTTCTTGCTGTGTCCGTACATCTAGAAGAATGCCCAGAGTGTAGTATACACCATACTGCTCACCGGACAAAAGCCCGACAGCCCTCATTAGGCCTGTATTCATACCAGGGTAGCTCAGCGTTTGTTTCTTGACAGGATGGCTGTCCTTATACAACACTAACTGCTGTCACCTTAGTCATGCCAGAGACCTGCTGCTGGAATTCACTTCTTAGCAGTACTATAATATTTCCCTTGCAAAGTTAGTTTTCTCAGTTTCTGAGATTTGTTTCTGTCTTCTCTTGAACCTCTATAATCTTCCTGTTCACTTACCTATTGCTTTAATGATAATCTCACTTCATCAACATTCAAAAAACTAAGATCATGGCATTCAGTTCCACCACTTCATGGCAAATAGATGGGGAAAAAATGGAAACAGTGACAGCTTTTATTTTCCTGGGCTCCAAAATCACTGCAGATGGTGACTGCAGCCACAAAATTAAAATACGCTTGCTCCTTGGGAAAAAAAGCTTATGACAAACCTAGACATCCACCAGACATGGAAAAATGGACTGGTTCCAGATTGGGAAAGGAGTACCTCAAGGCTATATATTGTCACCCTGCTTATTTGACTTATATGCAGA